CACAGTCCGCTGCTCACACTTCATTTTACTCCGATAGTGCTCGCGCTTTGCTCTGCTGCTGCGCGTTTCATGGTGGTAAAGTATAGCTGGTAGAAAATTTATTGTGCAGACTACCATTCGAAGCACAAGAAGCTCATTAAAAAAAAAACAAAATTTTCGCAGGGTTACCAACTTCACAGCTTGATGCCACAGTGCCTCAATGAACCGACGCGTATACAACAGTAGGTTCTAATTATTCACTACCGCGTTTATCACTTCTAATTTGCAGTGGCAACACATAATTACTCAGTACAATATTATGCCGAATTGAACAGCCGTTGCCGCTGTGGTAGCTCAGTGGTTAGAGCATCGAACGCGTTATTCGAATTGAACAGCCGTTCGCGATCACAAATTTCATACAATATTTATATTCTAAGTTGTGCTCAGTCTTGCGCAAAGGCCTTATTCGACGTGCCCTCTTCACACCGGAACATGGACTGTGCGCACTTGCTTGCTCATGGCTGCTCCCCTGACCAAATCATTTAGAAATTGGCGTCCTCGCAATCGACCGCGATTTCAGTGCTGCTTGCCTTTTGAAAAACGGAAGCATAGGCCTGCATTTCCTATTTACCGGGCACCGATCTACAAATGGCTATCCTTGCGCGAGGACATTATTTGACGGGCCGTAACTGCAAATGAAACCACATTGTGCAACATGTCTTTATTGATTGTGAAAGCTGATGCGCAAAAGAATAAGTGGGGGAAGTTTAAAAATATCAAAAAGGTTTTTTAACCGTCGTCAGAAGTTTCCCTTGCATGCTCTTGTAGTTTGCATGATTATATCTTTTATTGAAAAGTGTAATTAACATAGGCGTTGGAAGTTTTATAAATAAGCGTGCTGAGAAAATTATGTGGAATTTTAACCGTTATGTCGTAAGCCCTTTTTGAAATAAAGGCCTGCAAACTAGGCAAAAAATATTGTAGGCCAAATTTGAAAATTTTTATAAAAAATCTACATCACGCAGAGAATCGAAATACAATTAAACGTTAGCGTAAGTACACCTATGTTTCGTTAAACAAATATGATATACTTAGCTTTAATATATTTTGTGCAATTCGTCGCCAAAAACGAAACAAAAAAAAAACAGCAGAGCAGGTAAACGTCGCATTCCACCTTTTCGTCTTTTTTGATTTATCGTGCTTCGAAAACGTTTTTGACATCAAAACTCAAAAACATTTTTACGTCAAAACTAATTACGGATCTCTGCTTTCGACTCATCAGGCATGAATGTATAAAATTTTGAAAGAAGTTTAAAAGGTTGACCAGCCATGTTTTGTTCAACCGAATCAATGTCTTGTCTCTTAATGTTACACCTATCATTTTCCTTTACATCGCTCGCTGCGTCGTCCCCAGTTTAAGCTGAACCCTTTTTGTAAGCCTCCAGGCTCCATGAAGGGCAACGAAGCGGCGCTGATGCATCCCATGCACTGCCACCTCTTGCTGTACAATGCGCTTCAATCATTTCTAGACGGATTTGTAAATTGTGTTTTTTTATCACTTCGCATTGTTGAAAGAAAGGGAACATCCACAATAAAGGCATTGATTTTCAATGTTCCCCTGCATTGCTTTGTGCACATTGTAATGGTGGTCTTTTAGCCTTTTATTAAAGCAGCACCCCGTTTGGCCAATTACCTCTTACCACTCGAGAGAAGTATCGAGTAAACAACATGGCACAAATAGCGTTTTGTATTCACAGCGGCTTTACAAATCAGTCAGTTCCGTGAAACCACGTGCCGCTGTGCGGAAAACCAATCACAAAAATGCGGTGATGCAAGAGGTTATGGTGGGTAAGGGAGTAAAATATGTCTTCGACATAAACACTGAAGTCCCAGCAGCGGCCGAAGTTCTCAGATTTTAAATATCGGTCTTCTTCAACAGAGTTCAGAATCTGATAAGGTTCTTCAAATGTCAGCGAATAGTGAGTGAGTGAAACAATTTTATTCGGTCCACAATAGGAGCGAGCTAACTTGACGTCACCTGGAGTGGGGCGAGACATCCGCCTGTGTGTCTATCCGACTGTTCGCCCGTCCGTCCATCCGTCTATGCTTTCGTCCACGCGTGCGCGATTTTGTCCATCCGTCAGTGAGTCCGTCCGTCTCTCTGTCCGTCCATGCTTCCGTCCGTCCATTTGTCCATCCGTCCGTCTGTCTGTCCGTCCACGATTCAGTCCGTCCATCTGTCCATCCGTGCGTCCGAACGGATGCTTCGCCCCACTCATTATCATTCACTCCGTGAATATGCTGTGATTTTTAGATGCGAAGCAGCTCTTTGATTGGCCTGTGTAACAATGTTCTCTGCGTCTGCACAAAGCCCCTCGCCGAAGGTTTTGGAGTGGTGCCAAGTAGGTCAAGTCGCAGCTGCGCGTTGATGTCGCTCTTTCCCTCACTCGCAGCAGCTGCCGGCTCCTCCACCCGCTGGCAATACACTTCTCTCTCGATTCACCCTCTCCACCATCCACAACGGTCGACCGCACGTCGAGTGGAAACACAGACAGATTTAGTTGCGCGCCCGCAGCCGCCGTGCGTGGCCTGCCGTTGCAAATAGCTATAGCAAGCTGCATCCGTATGGCTGCTTCGGACGCGTGACTAAATCAGTCTACTCTTTCGACTCGTTTATCTGTGATGAAACATACACGAAACCCAACCCGCCTCACGTGTCTTAGCGTTTCAAACAAACGTTTACTCGAGTAAACGCTACGCTGAGTTTCACTTCAATCCGTTCTTCCATCACCCGCGTCGACGCCCGTTTCAACCAAGTCAACGCCGTGCGCACCGCTGCTGCTTCGAATCCCATCGGGATGCCCTTCGGGGAGATGGTCCATAATTTTAGGGGCGAAGCTCCTTATGGCGTGGCTTGTGCGTCCCTCGTTATTGTGCGTAACCGCCTCTCGTTAGTTCTTGATCCGGCCATAAAGGGTGGTACTGACGTCACACGTACGGAAGGAGAGAGACGATCGCGTGTTCTTCAGCAGCGCCGTACGCCAGGGGCGCTCTATAGTATAATAAAAGCGCCGTTTTTGGCGCGAGCGCATTCAGAGGCTTGGTGGTGAAGGATGGACAAGGCTGCCGACCGGTGTGCGCGCAGGGCGGCGGCGGCTCGCGCTCGAAGACGTCCCCCACGTGCGGGCGCGGGAGGTCGAAGCGAAACGTGAAGCCGCGTGGCGGCGCCGCGAGGACCCTGCAGTACGAGAGTGGGAGGCCGAATTGGCGCGGCAGCGGCGTGTGGACCTTGAAGATGGTGGACTTTGAAGCACGGAAGGATTGATGGACACTTCGCCCCACTCATCATCATTCATTTCGTGGATATGCTGCGATTTTTTTTTTCATAAAAGAAGCACACACTCTGCGTTCCGTCGTCATAAAACTGACTGGCAATTCACAGAGTCAACCCACCCTTCAAACATATATGTTCATGTGCGTATGCGAAATGCAGTGATTTCCGGTGTGTGGGTTTGAATCCTTCCCTTTGGCTGTCCCTATGGTTCCAAAATGGTTCAATAAAGCTGGGACTCAAACTTGTGGGGTCTAAAGGTGAAGAGCGCCACTACGCTCTTGGAGTGAATGGACACAGTAGACGCGGTCGGAACAAACCAAACAACACATTTTCATGATTTCACTAATTTTTAGAACGACGATATCGTCAGCCAAATTATTATGACAACAATCGTGATCAACATGCTAAGACATCTTTACACAATATTAAACAACACTCAACAACATAACAAACACAATAACACTCGTAAGGCGGCATCGCCAACGCTTGACTCACCACGTGGGCCCACCACTGGAGGCAACCTCCACCCGCAAAAGAGACGCTAGATTCTTTCGTGCCGCCACCAAGGCTTGCCGCCAGGGGTCACTGCCGGCACTACCAATCTAAAAACCATGATGATGAAGATAGTGGTAATCTACGCTCGCGAACACAACGCCACCTACCACTCAATAGTTGTGACCCCGAAATACGGCTTTTGCGCGAGACACGTGCGCCACGCGGCGCAACAACTTTACAGGGGGTGTCAGCACCCCCACAAACTATGCAAATCGGCCGCGGCCACGCCCTAATGTGTTTATTCATGAGTGTACTTTTTCACTGTTTAAGCATAAGTTAGACAGTTTAACTTTTCCTTCTGTTTTTGTTTTATCACACTAAGTCTTTGTAGCAATAATAAGTGTGGTCGCTGACCAACGACGTACGAAAATTTTCAAAATGTTCTACGTGCCTGTGATTGCTGATGTATAAATCTGGCGTTCACAATAATTGATCAGCTCGCATATAGTTTGTTTTTTACAGCATTCTCATGCAGTGTGGGTGCTATCATCCCTTCAAAGTCGTTTTCACCTGATGGTGCACGCGCGTCCGGCGGATTAGTCGGAGTTGGTGTGATTAGTTTCGCTGCCGAGTGAGAGGTATAGCTATGGGGAGCCTACATGACCAATTTTTATGTAGGCCTCCTAGATATAACACTGTGAACGCGCCGCTTGGCGGGAAGCGAGGTTGAGGACGAGCGCTTTCGCTTCTTTTGGTGTTTTGGGCGTGGTCGGCGATAGTCAGGCGACCGGGAGTGTCCATGGGTGCGACACCACGGCTTGTTTCTCACGGGTTCTCGGTATACAGTGGGGACGTTGGTGAGATTGCATCCAGATACATTGCATGTTTCATTACGGCGTAAATGTAGCACGAAATGGACAGGGACAAGAAATAAGTGTACACCACAAGTGCTTATACTCACAACTGAAAGCTTTATTGCCTAAACCGTAACACTGTCACTATATACACTTTCTTGTCCTAGTATTTTTCGCGCTACATTTACGTCGTAATGAATTAGCACCAACTCGCTCGCCTCTCCGTTTTACTACATTGTATGTGCTATGCTGTTTTGTCTTCTTTGTGTGTTTTATGACATTATGTTTGGGTAATTAGTCATGCTAATGTAGTTATTAAATTCGGATGGCGGGCTCGCCGTGATTTAAAAGCGTTTAATAAATGTCGAGGTGTTTACAGCCTGACGGCGTCCACCATGTCCGCTTGTTCTGGAGTGACTCTTTTAGACCCCACAGAGAGTGTCATCTCCTCTCCAATTGTTCTTTTCGGCCGTCTTTTCTTAGTCGGATGGCCTTTCCGCGAGGCAGTCCTGTAAAAAGCGGCACTGACTGAGTGACACGTCCTGAAAATAAATTTAGAGTTGCATGAGTGTGAGAATAGGAGGAAGGATAACATCCGAAAACCCTGATATGATTATATGAGAGGCGCCGTAGTGGAGGGCTATAAAAATTTTGACCGCGGTGTTCTTTAAAGCACACGGCTCTCAAGCATCATCGGCGAAAGTGGGGCCGATACGACCGGAATACGATACCACGACCAGCACCATATTCTCTAGTCCACCGTGGCGTTTATGTGCTATTAAAGTTAGTTGTGGAAACAGCGCCTGTTTTCGTGTCCCTCCTTTAATTTTCTGTTGTCTCGCACTCAATGTGACAGGTTGAACGTTTGGCTTGCAGTCCTTTTCTCTGAGTTATACTCTTTCCGTCAAGTGCGAGGTTGAGCCCATCACACGGCCGTCTCGGAATCGTCGAGCTGAACACGCCGTGCCACGTTGGCATATCGGCGGCCGGTTTATTGAGCAAGCCACCTGGCAGCCACGAGTCCGTCCTTGAAACGTGTCCTTTCTTTGTTGCGGCGTAAATAAATCAAGCCGTGGCATTTTACTGCGATAGTAATTATATGGACTCTCTCGACGGGTTTTCGCCGTTGCTGTCATGTTCTGTATATTTTGAAAAGGTCCCACATACTACATATAACAAAGAACTTGGAAGGAAATATTGGTGAAAGCAGTTTGTGCCTTCACAAATAGTTTGACGAAAGGCGCTTGCGCTGCATCGCATATATGCCGCGCTATAAATCTATATATGCATGAAGGCCTATTCAAGTATATAAGAACAGTTTACCCTGTATTCACGGGCGATCTGCACTGCCTTCTGCCTCGTGTGGATACCGACTGAATGAAAAGCCTGAAATAAGAAAAAAAAAACGTGTTTATAGATGCGACAAATTATCGCGATAATAAGTAGAAATAAGGCCAATCAATGAAAAGGCCATTAAAGCCTAAATTAACATAAAACAGTGCCAATAACGAGGGACAAGGAAAGAAGGAGACAGACAGCGGTACTGATCTACAACAAGATTTATTTGCTGGAACCGCGCAGTATATACTTGAGCAGTATCTGACAAAAAAGAGAAAATACGAATAAAAGAAAACAGCATTCACCTGTTTCTTTGATTTCTCTTTTCTTTGATTTGTGTTTTTTTCTAGAGAATGAGAGACGCCGTAGTGGAGGGCTCCGGAAATTTCGACCACCTGGGGTTCTTTAACGCGTGCACACAAATCTGAGCACACCGGCCTACAACATTCCCGCCTCCATCGGAAATGCAGCCGCCGCAGCCGGGATTTGATCCCGCGACCTGCGGGTCAGCAGCCGAGTACCTTAGCCACTAGACCACCGCGGCGGGGCACGGCTATGAGGTCTGGAAGTGTCGTCCTGGGCGCAGTGCAAAGCAGTCGGTTCCCTACAAATACGCGCCACATCTTGTTCAACCAAGCACAAAACACGGTATGTGTCTTGCGTTGCCGGGGTTGTTTACTATCATATGCGTGGTATGTATAGTAAATCCGCCCCCTACATTAACTTAATAGGGGTGCTGCGACGAGCCGTCAAACACCCCAAAAAGGGAACCCTGCACAGATCAGGCTTGCCTGTGGTGTACTCAGTGCAAGTCAGCGCAAGCGACAGGAGGGGACGCAAGAGAGTCCTGTCGGTTGCACTGATTTGCCCTTATGTCGGTCGTACCAACGCGCCCAATCTTACAGTCTTTTAAGGTGTGCTAAGCTCTAATGTTTACTTTTCTCGAATAACACCATGCAGTTTGCAGTGAGCAGTAGTGTTGTCGTCTTCTCTTCTTGTAACTCATCCTTTTGCGCTGAAATCAACTTTCAAAATGAACCAACGCGGCATTGCATCCTTGGCACTCATCGCGAATTGCGGTGCCATGAGTGTCCTTTGATTGCGCTGCTTCCGCTCGCGTGGAAGGTATGGCATACTTACATATCCCCGACGTTCTCGCATGCTATGAGCTTCAAGAATGTGCTTGAAGCACTGTACTCCATGGCCATCTGCGCCAGAGAAAGCGTCAGTTGGAGTGCGTTCCGGTGGAAGATTGCCGAACAGAGCTGTGCTGCTTTAAGGTAATTTAAAACGGTGGCGGATAGATTATCCGAAAAGCATGTTTCGGAATGGCTTTCTTAAGTTAATGCCGTTTTCTGCGATGTATCTTTAAAGGGCCTCTCACCAGGTATTGACATCGCAAGCAACCAAGCGTGCACGCGTGCTTGCGATCGCGTTTGCAGACGCCCACGTTGCGTAGAAACGGATGGTTTGAAAAAGTGGCCTCTGCAGTGAATAACTGCGAAGTTATGAAATTCACCCGAATTAAGCGCTGTAACCGAGACCGCAATGCGGAAGAGTGCAAGTTCCATATTCTTTTGAAATGAACACAATGAGTTATCACCGTTATATGCCAATAATCTAACCGGTAATTCTACGGAGCATAAACATGGAGGCTCAAAAAGCGGCTTCAGCTAATATTGAGGACTACGCAGCGAGCAATTGTAAGAAAAAAATAATAGATGTAGATCAATAGACAGGAAGATAGCAGGGTGGATCTGGGAACGAACGGGGGATTCAGGACATCGCAGCTGAAATCAGGAAGAAGAAATGAACATGGGCTGGGCACGTAGCCTGTATATGTAGGATGACCACTGGACATTAAGGGTCATCATCATCATCATCAGCCTGACTACGTCCACTGCAGGACAAAGGCCTCTCCCATGTTCCGCCAGTTAACCCGGTCCTGTGCTTGCTGCTGCCAATTTATACCCGCAAACTTCTTAATCTCATCTGCCCACCTAACCTTCTGTCTCCCCCTAACCCGCTTCCCTTCTCTGGGAATCCAGTCAGTTACCCTTAATGACCAGCGGTTATCCTGTCTACGCGCTACATGCCCTGCCCATGTCCATTTCTTCATCTTGATTTCAGCTATGATATCCTTAACCCCCGTTTGTTCTCTAATCCACTCTGCTCTCTTCTTGTCTCTTAAGGTTACACCTACCATTTTTCTTTCCATTGCTCGCTGCGTCGTCCTCAATTTAAGCTGAACCCTCTTTGTAAGTCTCCAGGTTTCTGCTCCGTAGCTAAGTACCGGCAAGATACAGCTGTTATATACCTTCCTCTTGAGGGATAGTGGCAATCTACCTGTCATAATTTGAGAGTGCTTGCCGAATGTGCTCCACCCCATTCTTATTCTTCTAGTTACTTCAATCTCGTGGTTCGGCTCTGCGGTTATTACCTGCCCTAAGTAGACATAGTCTTTTACAACTTCAAGTGCACTATTACCTATCTCGAAGCGCTGCTCCTTGCCGAGGTTGTTGTACATTACTTTCGTTTTCTGCAGATTAATTTTAAGACCCACCTTTCTGCTCTCCTTGTCTAACTCCGTAATCATGAGTTGCAATTCGTCCCCCGAGTTACTCAGCAATGCAATGTCATCGGCGAAGCGCAGGTTACTAAGGTATTCTCCATTGACTCTTATCCCTAACTGCTCCCATTCTAGGCTTCTGAAAACCTCGTGTAAGCACGCGGTAAATAGCATTGGGGAGATTGTGTCCCCCTGCCTTGCACCCTTATTGATTGGTATTCTGTTGCTTTCTTTATGAAGCACTATGGTAGCAGTTGATCCCCTGTAGATTTCTTCCAGAATGTTTATATATACTTCATCTACGCCCTGATTCCGCAGTGTTTGCATGACGGCTGATATTTCTACTGAATCAAACGCCTTCTCGTAATCTATGAAGGCTATGTATAGTGGTTGGTTATACTCTGAGCATTTCTCTATTACCTGATTGATAGTATGAATGTGGTCAATTGTTGAGTAGCCTGTTCGAAATCCTGCTTGTTCCTTTGGTTGATTGAATTCTAATGTTTTCTTTACTCTGTTAGCAATTACCTTTGTAAATAGCTTGTATACTACAGAGAGCAAGCTGATCGGCCTGTAATTCTTCAAGTCCTTGTCATCTCCTTTCTTATGTATTAAGATGATGTTAGCGTTCTTCCAAGACTCTGGTACTCTTCCCGTCAGGAGACACCTCGTAAACAGGGTGGCTAGTTTTTCTAACACAATCTGTCCTCCATCTTTCAGCAAATCTTATGTTACCTGATCCTCACCAGCAGCTTTGCCCCTTTGCATGCTCTCCAAAGCTTTTCTCACTTCTTCTATCATTACTGGTGGGGTGTAATCTGGGTTACTGCTAGTTCTTATAGTATTAAGGTCGTGGTTGTCTCGGCTACTGTACAGATCTCTGTAAAACTCCTCCGCTATTTTAACTATCCTATCCATATTGGTAGTTATTTTGCCTTCTTTGTCCCTTAGTGCATACATCCGACTTTTGCCTATCCCAAGTTTCCTCTTCAATGCTTTGACACTTCCTCCGTTTTTCAGAGCGTGTTCAATTCTCTCCATGTTATACCTTCTTACATCGCATACCTTACGTCTATTAATCAACTTCGAAAGCTCTGCCAGTTCTATTTTGTCTGTTGTACTTGACACTTTCATGATTTGACGCTTCTTAATTAGGTTCTTCGTTTCTTGGGAAAGCTTGCCAGTGTCCTGTCTAACTACCCGGCCTCCAACTTCCACTGCACACTCCGTAATGATACTCGTCAGATTATCATTCATTGTATCTACGCTAAGGTTGGTTTCCTCACTAAGAGCCGAATACCTGTTCTGCAGCGACACTCTGAATTCCTGTACTTTCCCTCTCAGTGCTAGCTGATTGATTGGCTTCTTGCGTATCAGTTTCTGTCGTTCCTTCTTCAAGTCTAGGCGAATTCGAGACCGTACCATTTTATGGTCACTGCATCGTACCTTGCCAATCACTTCCACATCCTTAACGATTCCAGGGTGTGCACTCATTATAAAGTCTATTTCGTTCTTATTTTCGCCATTAGGGCTCCTCCATGTCCACTTGCGGTTTTCTCGTTTTCGGTAGAAGGTATTCAAAATCCGTAAATTATTGCGTTCTGCGAATTCTACTAGTAGCTTTCCTCTGGCGTTTCTAGTACCGATGCCATAATCTCCTACTGCCTGGTCTCCAGCCTGCTTCTTCCCTACCTTTGCATTGAAGTCGCTCATCACCATAGTTTACTGTGTTTTTACCTTACTCATTGCCGATTCCACGTCTTCATAGAAGCTTTCAACTGAAGCGTCATCATGGCTGGATGTAGGCGCGTAAGCCTGTACTACCTTCATTTTGTACTGCGCGGTACCGGGATTTGAACCACGGACCTCTTGCATGCGAGGCGGATGCTCTAACCACTACGCCATCGCTGCTCCTCGGACATTAAGGGTAACTGACTATATTTCAAAAGAAGGCAACCTTGTGAGGGGAAGGCTGGAAATTACGTGGGTAGATTAGATTAAGAAGCGTGGCAGCAGCAAGTACAAAGTTGCGTTGATTGGCAGAATATGGGAGAGAGGCCTTTGTCCTGCCATGGGCATAGTCAGGCTGCTGCTGCTGTTGATGATGATGATGATGATTATGCTAATGATGTTGTTGATGATGATGATACTAACCAAGTTTTGAGTTGTCACTGCTGTTTTGTGTGCTTGTTCACTCTTGTGCGAGTTCCCGGCGATCTCTGAATTGTGGCCAGATTCGTAAAATAAATAGCATGCGATTTGTTACCAGATTTGTTAAATAAATAGCATGTTGTGAAATCCATGAACTCGTACTTTTCAGTTCGCAGTGTTTCCGTAATTGTTCACCTATATTTTCTCACGCCGTTGTTTCTAACTTGTAATTTTGTCGGGTACAAAATAGAGCACTTTTCTGATCCCTAAGTATTTTCACACGCACACACACACACATAATATTTCTTTACCTTTAATTACCTGGTATTT